AAGCAAGCTGAGTAATAGTAGAGGATTCGGCTACTGGAAGTTGGAGAAACCAAGTGCTGAATGTACGATTAGTGTTAGAGAAGCTGCAGTTCAATAATGCATAAATTGTGGATTTCTATCACTATTTTTGAATGCTGAATGTGGAAATCAGTAAGGATAATGGAGGAAAAGCTAAATGCATGTAAGAGTATTGTTGTTTGCTGAAAGTAAGTAATAGTTACTGCTGCGATTTGCTGAAATAAAGGGGTTGTTGAAATTGGTTTGCTAAATGTATTACAGAAATAGAAGTAATGGTGTTGTGTTGAATGAGGAAGTTTAGTGAAGGTTGTTTACAAAAGGAAAAGAAGAAAGAATCGGGATACCGAGGTGAGATACCCAAACAAGGTTATAAGAATTAATAAATGTTTTATTATCGCACTCCTTCATTATGTTTATGATCACATGTATTCTAGTTTATTTTTGTTATTTGAATGAATATGGTTGTTTATGTATGAATTTGTTTACGTAAAGGATAATCTTTAGCAATGTAAATGATTTAATAAGCAAAGAAGGGTAAATATTCATAAAGCGCAATTAAAGCGCAAGCAAAAGGCACCTAAAGCGCACCTAAATGGCACCTAAAGGGCACCTAAAGTGCACCTAAAGCGCACCTAAAGGGCAACTAAATGGCAGTTAAAGGACACCTAAAGGGAAGCTAAAGGGTAACTGAAGAGCAGCTAAAGAGCAACTATATCATCAAAAGCATATGTCATTAGCTCTAAAAAGGATGACTATATGAAAAGTGAAATAAGTTATATATGGGGGATAGGCCCGCACAAGTAAAGGCGAAAGACCTGATGAGATAAGCCTACACTCTTAATTCTAGAAGTTGAAAAATTTGACTCAACCCTGAATGAGAGAACAACTTCCATTCTAAAAGTTGGGAAATTAGACCCAACCTTAAATTGGAAAGTTGAATGGTGCAAAAGCTTATAGCCATACTATAACTTATTTAAAGATGTGGAATAGTTTTGATAAGATAAATAATACTGCTAGGCACTTTGAGGCTCAATATGACATTTCAATGTGTTTTAATTATGTTAGCATAGTTATGATATTTCTTAATATTTCTTATAACTTGCTTGTGTATTTCATTGAGTCAAGCTCATTAGCAGTAGTTGTACTGCAGGAAAGGGGAAGGAGCCCTTGGGACAATAAAAAGAGGTGACCATTCTTTTGATGCAAGTACGTTTTGGGGTGCAAGAGATCTAAAGCGAGATCTGAATGCTAGATGTAAAGACTTTTGGGTATGTGAATGAATTTTAAAAGTTTTAGTAGAGCTCTGTATTTGTTTTAATTATGTTGAGGTTCAATAAGGTATATTACATGCTTCATGTAGTTAAGTGTGGAGTTTGATACGTTGAAATCTTTCTCTATTATACTCCAGTTCGTCGTAGAGGGTGAGTCAAACTGGGGTGTGACATTGGTGGCCTCCCGACTCCCTCTTGTTGCCGGACCTTTAGGTGCTAGATGAGTGGTTGTCATCCTATAAGTGCCTCTTGTGCTGCTACTCCTGGCTCCCCTTTCCAGATTTCTCTAATTTTTCACCAGCTGGACCAACTTCATGGCCTCCCCCAAGTCACGGGGCATCAGAACCTTCACTGATGCTCGGATCTCCGCCTTCAACCCCTTCATGAAATTCTCCTCCAATACCGTATCTAATAAACGTTCCACCTTGTTGGCTAGGTGCTCAAATCACTCCCGATAGTCGACTACTGATCCCTCCTGCATCAGAGTAAAGAACTGTCGGTTTGGAAATGTTATATTATGTAGTCCTTGAACTCCCTCCAAATTTTGATAGGTCTCCTCTGGTCTCTCCATTGATATCAAGATAGATCATTTCCTTTTAAGCACAAGCCTGCTGCTGTCAGCTTCTCCTCCTTCGTTAGCCCATTGACGACGAAGTATCGCTCAACCTTATAAATCCACTCATACGCATCTTGTCCATCAAATATAGCATCTTCAACTTCCTAACCTTCTGGTCGCCACCATTCCCCCTTATTCTTCAATAATTTCCCCTCGCCCAAGCGCTAGGCCCTCCCAATGTCTCTCGATCTTCCCTTGCCCTGCCATAGCCCAAACCCCCTTCAAAATTCCCCCTTCTTTCTTAAAAATCAACACCTCGGCGGCCATGGTATCCCTCCTGGCATTCCTCGTATCCACCTCCGCTTTCTTTCCTCTAGACAGGCTCCAGATGGGGTCTTCTTCTTTCTCCTTCCATGATTTCCACCTCATCTTCCTCCCTACAAATTTCAGAATTCGTACTTTTTCCTTCCACCCATTTTGCCTTGAAAGCCGTCGTTTCGTTTTGAATTTCCAACATTTTCTTCATCATGTCCCGAAGATCGGCTACTTGTCCTTCCATGGAGGAAATCCTTTCCTCCACCATTGTTTTGATTTGATTCATCTCCCCTTCAAGTCTTTCCACCACAGCATCCACCTTTTTGGTCGCCATCACAATCCAGAGTTTGTAGATTCACAAAATTTGGATTTGGGACTCCAAAAACAACAATTTTTCCCCTTTCCGGGCAAAAAATCACCGCTGAAATTTGTCGAAAACAGCCTTCCACCGGTCCCAAAACTTGCTCTGATACCAATTTGATAGGAAATACTTGAGTTCGCAAGTAATCCTATCGGATTTACTTGAGTTCACAAGCAACCCTAGTAATAATTGGTTCAAAACAGCGAAAAGAAACAAGAAACTTGGACAAATCAATCTAGAAATGATAGATTGCGATAGTAGAAACAAAACAAAGCAAAACTCAAAGCAAGATACAATTGATCCTCAATTCGAGAGGAGGATCATCTCTCCCAATCTCTAGATTATAGATCTAGAGCCCAAGACACCAAGGAACTCTCCCAAAGAACAAACAATACAAGCATGCCCTAACCCTAACCTCTCATCTTCTTTAAATACATCCTTCCTAATTAAAAGCTTCCTAATATAATTTTATTTCAAATTGCTCTCTTGCATGAACCGCCCCCTTCTCTCTCTAGTTGCCTCCCAAGGAGGTGGGACCCAACCCACTTAAGCAATGGGTTTAAGAAGAGGCGGCTTAGTCCGCCTCCTATATGTCCGAACCGGCCCCACCTGGGCCGTTTTAGGCTGGTTCGTAACACTTTTACAACAATTCGGAGCCAAAGTTAGATCTTACCATGGAAATTGAACTTTTGCTTGCATTTGATGCCTTAAGTACACAGGATTTGGTAGGAACTTCATTTGCATGCAAGTGCATTGATCCAAATCACCAATAGTATTAACTCATAATCATCCTATTGTTGAGGATGTTGGTGACCAAGATTCTAAGCAATCATATACTTATCTTGGTTGAATTCGAGTACTGAAGCACAAGTGGATAAAAGATCTCAAATCCTGTTTACCGGATAAGCCGAAAAAGAAGAGAATGTATGACTGCACTCACCAAAGTTTACCATATTACAAGCAAGTCACAACAATCCAGCAAACAATTTTGGTTTTCTTGACTTTAAAGGTGGTCATGGCAATCTCCTCATCTACCATTTTATCTATGTTTTTGTATTTTGCTTATTTATTTTGTCGTCAGGCAATTCTTAGCAATTATTCATAATGCCCTCATTTTATTGGCTGATCATAAAATTTGCTTCATGTAAAACAAAATATTAGGCCTTCAAAACCCTAGATATCACTCTTGGCAGTTTAAAGACCTTACTCAAGAAATTGGGTTAAAAAATGTGGCGTCTTTATTGCTGCTTAGGGTAATATAAATTGTCCTCCCAAAACAAGTAGGTAATCTACCCCCAATAAATCAAGTTTGAGCCTCTATGAACAGATTTTTGGTAAGCAATGTAAATCTTTGCCACAAACATATATGGGATATCACTCTTTTGAACACATTTAGCAAATTAACAACTAGATTCTCAAAAATGTTTCACAAAATCATTTGATAGTTTAACATCAACGTCAAAGAAGAAATTTACAAGCCAGATTTCTCTTATATCCTTCCTCGACTGCTATTCAGTCTCCACTCAAAGGAGGGATGATAGTATGCCTGATAATCAAAAAGAGTCCCACCAAGATACGATAAGAATAAAAATCTTCAGAGTGGGCAGGCAAAATTCTTGGACTTGGGGAAGAACTAACTTCACAAATGGGTGTGGAGAACCTGTAGATCATATAACTATTGATTTGATGGGTATAATTTGGTCTTCTTTACATAAGAATGCACCCATATTCAGGTTAGTAGGCCATTCAAAAGGTAGGATACAGTATAGTCTCCAATTCAATTCTAATGGGACATTTAGAATTCTAATGGGACATTTAGAACATAAACAGATTGGCATTGGGTGGTCGACAACTTTTAGCACTCAAGATCATAATCAGGTCTTCCACAATCAGATTCAGTCTCGATTACCCAGGCAAGTTCAAGGTAGGGCAACTGATTCTAAGTATCATCATCTTTCAAGCTATTGATATTGCTATAGTATGTCTAGATAACAATTCCAAAAAAAGAGCCAAGTGCCTGGAGGGTCTTTTTTCATGCTTCCTTTGTCCTCCTCCTAGCTTGACCAGGTAAGATCTACTAGACTCAGATTCAGTCTCAAGTACCCAGGCAAGTTCCAGATAGTGCGACTGATTCTGAGTGTCATCATCTTTCAAGCTATTGCTATTGCTATTGGAAGTCTAAATAAGAATTTGAAAATAAGAGCCAAGTGCCTGAAGGGTCATTTTTCATGCTTCTTTTGTCCCCCTCCTAGCTTGACCAGGTAAATGCTATCCTTTTCATCGCATGTGAAAAAAGGAAACGGAACAATGCAATAACCAAGAAAAGTAAGAAAGCACAAACACGAAAGTAAACATAATATAGAAAAGGAACAGTCAACTAAAGAAGTTGGCTTGGAGTCAAATATGCATAATTTTAGTATAGATAATGTAGTATTTATAACACTTCTTTAAATCATGACAATTTACATAAAAAGGATACCTGATTTATACTGAATGTTGCCAATTCAAACTGCTGTTGTTGGTGAGTATTCTGAAACCCGTCAGCCCCATCAAGAGCCTGAAAACAACATCAAACATATTACAACATAAATTGAAGCAAAAGAATTAACAGATAGAGAATATAACAACTTGAATGCAAGAAATAGTTACCTCTTTTAGCTTACTGACAACTAACTGAATTTGTTCTTGTAATATGTTCTCTGCCATCTGATAAAAGCTTGGTGCAATATCAACAAACACGATGAACTTCTTTAGACATGATGGAAAATCTGCACGGTACTGAATAAACACGGATATTTCAATATTAAAATCATCATAACCGAAAGCAATACTCAAAAATATAAAAGTTAAACATACTTGTTAGTTCAAATCTCGTTAAAATATTCATCATGAGACGGGAAATGCATATAAGGTTCTTAGAATAGCACAAAACCCAATGCAAAATGTTTCATTTGAGGAAAATCTAGAATTTATTAAGCCTGATTAATGGGTCTTCAATAACTATTAAATGGGCCAGCTTCTTTCATTTAGGCATTTTCTCTAAGCGGGGGAAGTCTGGCAAAAAAATGTATGTAAATCAATTGATGTATGGGTGCTAAGCATGCAAAAGACTAAGAAAAAAATGAAACAAGAGGCAGAAAATGATTTGTGTTAAACTATAATTTAATTTCAAAATGAGACTTCCGAGGAAGAAACAGTACCGCAGAAAATGAGAAATCTATGATTCTAAATGACATTTATCGTGTACTGGAATTCTCCACATTCTTGCATAGTGTTGCTTTGAAACAATAAATTTCTATAGATTCCTAGATGAACACATCAAATCATAGCATTAGAGGAACCATGCCGCCAGTATTTTCAACCACTTAACTAATTCAGAATTTTTTGGAGTTATTGTTATTTCATAAGCCTGCTGTAATAGTAAAATCAAACAGATATGTATGAGCATAATTGCGAAGCAGTGTCAATGGCATGTACTCCAAATGGCTATAACTGCAGTTGGTACAGGAAGTTCAGCAACCCATCTGTCACGGAGCACTGTGCACCTGAGCATGGAGAACCAGCAAAGGGTTTCCGCTTATATAGAATTTGCTCTCATCTATCACATCTTGGCTTTTCTAGAAAGCATTGGACGTAGAAATGGGAGTGGAGAGAGGATTAAGGTTTCAACAATTTGCTCTCTTCTTGGTTTTGTCCCGCTATCTTCTTTTTCTTATCTAAACTGCCCTTCTTACCTTCTATTTTCCACTTCTTTGTTCTTTCTCAATTTTTAGGGGCTATTTGGTTGGATGTTTTTGAAGCACATGCATCTAGCAATGCAGAATAACTTAAATACATGCATTTAAAAATACAGTTGCAATTCAAATGCATTGAAAGATCTTTTTGTATTTGTTATGGAATATTTCAAAAGCATTCAGGTGTAGCCTGAGGACGACCAGCAAGAGTGGCAAGGTGGCCAAAGATGGTCAAGGCAAGGCTAGCAGAAGGCACAAGTGGTTGATGCCAATGGGCACAGGTAATAGGAGCTTGTAGCAGAAGAGATAGATGAGCAACGATGAGGGTGGGCGACAAGCGAGCAGTGGCGAGGGCATGCAATGGGCGAGGGACATGAGCAAATAATAAGAGGGCCATGAATGATAACAAGAGAGACACGAGCAAGCAATTCAAGCAAGATTATTGTGCACGACATGGGATTTGGAAAATTCCATATTCTGGCGATTTTCAAATGTAGTGAAAATAATGATTTTAGGGTATTTAAAATCCCTCAAAGTTGTGTCTTTCTATTTATTTTAGTTCAAGCCAAACACTAAAATAGTTAAAGTGCAATGAAATGTAATGCAATGCGCTATTGCTGAACAAATTACCCTTTGTGTTGAAATCGCCGACGGTCACAGAAAGCAATCCGTGGGAAGCTCTCATGGATCACGCCAGAGATAATTGCTTCTTTCTATAATGAAGGAACTAATTTAGGAAAGAGTAAATATTATAAATTTTATGCATTAAATCTGTAATTTGATGTTTCCTCGCTGAGATATATTGTATAATCTATAAATAGGGAAGAAATTATGCAATAAAGTCAAACTTTTCTTCTCAAGCCTCTAATTTCTAACACTTACAAACATCTACATCATGATTGTTGGCTGCCTCTAACATTGGTACCATGGATAGGCACATAATGAAATCAAACTTTCAGTTTACTCCCAAAAAATAGAAATTATGCAATCCAAATGCACCATGAAACAATCCACAATAGTAGCGCCTAGAACAAAGCCCATCAGTAGCCGCTGGAATAGAACTGACAATAGTAGCCATTATATAGAGGAATAGGAAAGGCAGACTATAGCAAACTTAATAGGATAGACAGACTACAGGAACCCTGCATAAATTCTACATCATTGATGGATTAATTCCACAAAACATTAAATCAGAGATATCTGCCATCATGCAAATAGTTAAGAGCTTAACACAAGCCGAGACATATAATGGCATCAGCAATCATTGTTTAAAATTGTGCAATATGAGGCTTGCCTTGAGGCCCGCTTCAGCGCAATTCTAGTGAAAAACACCTAGAGGCTTACGCCTCTAGTTTTTCTATGAGGCTTGCGCCCCAGCTTGGTTAAGGCCCACCTTGAGACACACCTCGCCTCGCTAGCATGAGGCTTATGCCTCACCCTATTTGTATGTAATTTTTGTTAAAATTAACATAAATCACACCTTCATGCACATTCGAGCGCAGCAACTTCCTCTCAATTGCCTTTACCTCCAGCCCGCGGCCTTCGCCGCGACCATCACCGTCATAGCCTTCACCGACAATCACTTAAAAGCTGCACACCACCACCCTAAAAATTATGGATCATTAACTTCATGTTTATGTTGATGAAAATATTTCTAAAAGATAAACATGATTAAAATTAATTAAAAAGAAACATATTATGAGGCATTCGAATCTACCGAGTGAGGCAAAGGATAGACCAATTTGTTATGGTGACAACTCAGATAAAGACCACCTCAGTGATGACAGCGTAGATGATTTCTAAGTTGTTGACAACTATTTCATCTTTCATTAGGAATTAAATGTAAATGAGTAGAGAATTGAGAAAGAAGAAATTCGGAGTTACACTTGATGGCTATATGATACTTTTATGAATTTTTTATATTTAATATTATTTTGCTCTTATAATATTTGGATTTTAATTCTATTTCATGGAATTTATCACTTGTCAATTTATATATTGTGTAATTTTTTGTTTCATATTATTAAAACGGAGAATTTGAGAGTGAAAAGCTTGAATTTTATTATGCAATCTACTCCCTATTTATAGATCTGTACAAGGTGTATTGATAAGGAAACAAATAACTCTTATAATAATGAGAATACAATTATTCCTAAATATATGGAAGGAATTAATGCTATCCAGGTAGTCTTCCCACGGATTACTGTTCTCAGCCGTTGATATCTTTGGGATCGTAAGGTTGAGATTTAACACTCCCCCTCAAGCTGGGAAGTATGGATCTGTCATTCCCAGCTTGTCAATCATTCGGAAAAAGGCAGAACTGTCCAATCCTTTAGTAATGATATCTGCAAGTTGATCCTTTGATGGTACATGGTCAACACTTACTAGACCACTGTCTAGTTTTTCTTTAATAAAATGTCTGTCCACTTCTATATGCTTGGTTTTATCGTGCTGGACTGGATTGTGGGCTATGCTAATTGTTGATTTGTTGTCACGATGTAGTTCATGGGCTCATCCCACTTAACCTTTAAATCATCTAGGATTATTTTGATCCATAGTAGCTCACATTTTCCCAAGGTCATAGCTCGATATTCTGCTTCTGAACTTGATCTTGCCACCACATTCTGTTTCTTGTTTCTCCATGTAACTAGGTTACCTCTAAGAAATGTGCAATACCCAGGAGTAGATCTTCTATCAACCGGTGATCCTGCGTAGTCAGCATCCGTGTATAATTCTAGAGTTATTCCACGATCTCTCTTAAAGAGAATTCCTTTTCCATGTCTTCCTTTAAGGTAGTGCAAGATCCTGTCTACCGCTTGCATGTGAATCTGCTTTGGATTCTGCATAAACTGACTGACCATGCTTACAGCAAATGCTATGTCTGGTCTGGTGTGGGAGAGGTAGATTAATTTCCCTACAAGTCTCTGGTAGGCCCCTTTATCTACATCTGGATCTTTTTTAGCTTCTCCCAGTTTAAAATTAGGTTTTACTAGTGTTGGTGATGGTTTACAGGCTAGTTTACCTATTTCTCTTAGAAGATCTTTGAAGTATTTCTGTTGTGAAATAAAGATTCCTTTGCTGGAGTGAGCTACTTCAATTCCGAGGAAATATTTTAGTCTACCAAGTTCTTTGATGTCAAATTCCTTGGTAAGACTTTTCCTTAAGCTGGCTTTCTCCTCTTCATTATTTCCAGCAATGTTTAAAATTGCGTATTCGGGTATTGAGGCGTTTTGAGGCGTAAGCCTCAAAATCAAAAAATTGCGTAAACATAAAATAATAAATTTTTTATATATTAATGAGTGAATAATATAAAACATAAAAAATCA